ATATATATGTAGGTCATGAGAGGAGTTGAAAGAAATAGAAAACAATAAAATTATGTCTTTACTTTTGTTGCGCACTGAAAAGGAAAAGCCAGTTTGTCTCATGCTCCTCTTTCAAATAAGCTGAGCTCGATAGAATTTTCTTGTGACCTTTGGTTTTATGATTTAACGTTCAAAATCGGGAGACAAGCAGCAGTTTGAGAAAGCTGGACAGCGGATCGATGCCGCCATTTTGAGAAGCAGAATGCAGAGATGTTTATAAAGAGAAATGCAATTGAAAATTTCTTCTATGTCTATATTTCTGAAAAAAAGCAGAAAAAATAAAAAAATAAAAAAGAAAAAAAAAAGAAAGGAAGGGAAGGAAGGAAGAATGAGAAAAAACGAACTGCAGCGATGTCACCAAGCAAAGTCGAAAAATAACATTTTAGCCAAGGATATTGGCCGGCCTTAGTATCAGCAGAACCCGCTTCAGCTTCTTCTTCTTCTTTATTGCCTTTGTTAAGTTCTTTGCATTACTGGTGTTGCCACTACCACCAAAACCCGTATGGCTCCAACTTTTAACCTTTACTGGTGTTCAGAGGTCATATTGAAAAGTAAAAAGATTGTGTCTACTTCTCTCTTTTTTGAGCTATTTGCGTAAATCCTTCTCTTTTTCTACTACGCTAGAATTCCACAAATAATTCCAAAAAAGAAAGAAATAAGAAGGTTAATTTTTTGTGTGTTTTCGTCTTGGGGTCTGTAGTACTGAAAAGTTTTCATATCACTTTTAAAAGAAAAGGAAATAAAATCGGTTTTTTTTTTTTTTAACCAGAATATCATTCTATAAGAAGATCGATATGTAAGCATATATCCGTTGTAAACATTTTTTTATGCACTGTGATATCTATTTGGACGCTTTGAAGAATAATTTGGTTTTCAGCGTTCATACATTCTAAGAAATGCGGCGGGTACGTTTGTGGTTAAACGACTAATGGTCCACGGGCAAATAACGGTGAAACTGCTGGCAAAAACAAACAGAATGAACCGTGAGCGCAGTGCCAACAAAATTAACCGACTGAACAGTGAGAAGGGATGGGGAAGGCCTGTGAAGTTTCCGGCTATTAGCTGTTAGAACGCATTTGTAAGGTCCCACATTGTCTGCTGCCTTTTTTTTTTTTTTTTTGGTTTTGCTTTGGATAACATTGTTGAGATTTTATCCCGTTGTTTACCGTTGGTTGATATCGGTTAGTCGTTACTTTTGTGGTTGTGTGAACTTTTTTTAATTTCAATTTATTGTTTTCTCAAAAAAAAGATTTTTTTTCTTCACAAAAGTCCCCGTATATTATAGGAAAATATTGTAGGAAAATCGATTTGGTATTTTTTCCCCACTGCTTTTCTTCTTTCGTTCTTTCTGTGCTTTCCTCTGCTTCGAGGTTTTTTTTTTTTCAACATTATGTTCGATGGTTATTTTTGTTGAGGGAAAATCGACATGTGAAAGGCAGTGAAAAAGATGATGAAAATATTGAAAAGAATTATAGCAACAACCTGTCAGTGATGTTGACAGTGCATAAA